AACTAATTTCAAGAGCACTTTGAATTGAATACAATTTAAAGCAAATAATTTCTAACAAACAGTGAATCTAAGAATTATCGTAAAACTGATCCCATATTGCGGTTAATGTATTCATATAACCAGTCGTTCGACTTTTTTGGGCAATTTTTGTCTTTCAGGATATCAACAATTAATGTGATTTCAGTTTTATCTCTATTTTGTGTGTTATTTATAGTCGTGTTATTAAAAATCAAAATTGAAGGACGTTTTGGAAAACGATTGCCTCATTTGCAAAGAGGAAAGTCTGACTTAAATTCAAATTATTTGACACTCTCTTACGAATCGTATTATAAAATCATTTGATTGTGTGTTAGAAAAGAGTTTTGTCGTTAAAAACTTCATGAGAAGCACTCAAATGGTGTACGAAGTGATTGGTGTACATAACGAGGACATCACAATCTTCCGCACATTTCCCTCTANAAAATCATTTGATTGTGTGTTAGAAAAGAGTTTTGTCGTTAAAAACTTCATGAGAAGCACTCAAATGGTGTACGAAGTGATTGGTGTACATAACGAGGACATCACAATCTTCCGCACATTTCCCTCTAAATAAGTGTTTATCGTTTACTTATATATTGAAAAACTTAATAAACGAAATCCTTTTTTGATCATTTTATTTTGTAAATTCATTTTATTTTTATGATTCTGTTGTAAATTTTGATAATACTTAATCATTGCGTTATAAGTGTTTTTGAAACCCGTATCAATTGAACAAACACTAAATCACATTGATCAATTTCAAAACAGCGGGAAAATGTAAGTTTCCATTGATTTGGTATATATTATTTAATTAAAATTTTTAATTGTTTAAATTGAACATGTTTTTTAGCAAGTAATTAATTGTATTTTTAGATTAATTAATTTATATTTAAAATAATTATAAAATGGGGTTTTCAGTAATATTTGTGGTATAAAATGTTTCACAACAATTACTGATAAAAATGTGGTGAATTATGGTTTCATTGATTAAGATATTTCAATCACTTTAACATATCTTTTATAAAATCAAAGCATTTAAATATTATTCACTTGACTCCCGACCAGGAAAAGGACAAAAGCCATTTCGTTGACAAAGACACGGGCGTCGAGTTGGAACTGTTGGAGTCCATGCCTTTACTCGAATGGTTGGCTAATAATTATAAGCAATTCGGGGCCACACTTGAAATCATCACTGATAGGTCTCAAGAGGGCTCGCAATATGTGAAAGGATTCGGTGGAATAGGGGGTCTGTATTTGTTCATTGTTTTAGACATTATTACTAGAAATTATGTGCATTTTGTTTGTCATTTGAATTATGAAAAACATGTTTATGTTTTGCTTAAAATTATAGACAATTTTTACAAACTGTTTGAGCGAATGCTCGTATAGTGTGGGGGAATGTGTGGAAAATGTTAGGTTTTATTGAGGGAAAGCTTATAAACTGTGGGGCACTCGGAATGTATCGATATGTTAAAGATTCACAAATGAGAAACAAGTGTTAAGTCATGAAAATTTAATATGCGTTACATTCTATGCATACATACAAGTCATACATGGGATATGCCGACTGTCCGGCCCTCACAATCCAATGTCAAACTTTATTTTATTGAATATCAAATATAACTTTGGCTTAAATAGTGTGCAATGAAAAAGACTTTAATTTTTTGGATTACATTTTGTATTTTTTCATATATTTATTTATGTTTCGCCAAACGATAAGATTATTTTATTGAAAGCATTTTATTGAGAAAATGATTGCTTTGGAAGTAAACTCTAGAATAAACTCATGTTTTTGTTACTTTTGCAGTAAAATCACAATTGAGTGCAAACGAGAATAATATCTCAATTGGTCTCAATTGAATGAACATTCATTTCATTATAATGTAAAATAGTCTGTGTTTTAGCTGTGAATATAGTGTAGAAAATGATCTCAATTTATAAGCACATAATTTTGCTCAATTTAGTGATAAAACCACTTGTTTTCATATTTGTTTCTTTCGTCATAAATGGTTCATTACATTAGAGAAACTTTGAAATCATATGAATTTTTATACATGTTTTTCTAATAGAGTAGGAATTAATTGACATTTTTATGGGAATAGAAATAATTTTGAAATCAAATGATTAGACATAAAGCGCTTATAATAATAACATTAAATGTGTTAAATCACTGAGAATTGTGAAAACAATTGAAACTTTGGTTGAATTGATTTATTAATGTTTTTGTGGATTTGTTTGAATACAGGTATTCTTCGATATCGTGTGGACTTCCAGACGTTAGACCTAACGGACGGTTTGGAAGAATACGACGATTTGGACGACTTTTAAACGAAGAATTATTTTTGGTTTACAATAAGATTTCAATTGTTAGGGCGTTTGGGTTTGTGTTGTATTTGTTTCAACAGTCGGACCATTAAATACCCAAACAATGAGTTTTCGATTTTATATAAAGTATTCCTTCAGTGAAGGGACTAAAGATATTTGGATTTGAGTGCAAATAAATATCTTTATTGTTATTAAACAATGCGTTCATTCGTTTTAATAATTATTTTTAGGAAATAATTCATATCTCTTCTGATAAATTAATTAAATTTTTAATTATTAAACAAAAAGTTTATATATTTTATTCTGTGGAATGAATTTCTCTTATTTGTTCATTCATTTCAAGTCAAACCTCTCTTTTATATATTGTATTGAATATTGAATTTAAATGAAAAATTATTTACAAATAATTGTATATAACTTTTCAAAATTACGGTACTTTTATAATATAATATATAAAGTAAAGTATATTGAGTTTTAAAACACATAAAAAACTTGATATAAATTTTTCTTATGTCACTATTAAAAAGAAATCTATTCTAAACAATGGGTCAAAACAATTGTATTTATGTCTCGAAACCATGATTTGTGGAGTGAGAGTCGAGTCAACTCGAGTGGCCGGTCTTCATGAGCTCGAGTAGACACCCGACGGCACCGAAGTATCCCTCGTGTTCCAGGAATAGGGCTTTCAGTGTTCCGCCCGACCAGAAGTCCATCGCAAACGCCAACAATTTCATCGATATCTCGTTGACGCGCAAGAAATTGCCGGCGAATACCACTCTCTCGATGCCCTCGTTCTTAGCGCACATGCGAGCGATGGCACCGATATTGTTGGTGATGGTCACTAACGTGGCCCGAGCCAAGTCTGCCGGTGTTGCCTGAGCTCTCTTCTCGGCGCTACACATGTGACCGAAACTGTATTCAAAACAAATGATATATTCATTGAAAACCTAATACACAGTACGGAAAGTGTGGCCAAACCTCGAGGCGATGATATCACCGCTGAGCTTGAATTTGGAGTAATCGCCGCCATATATATCGCGAACCGATTTATCGATTTTAGTGGAGTCGCCATTGGCTGCCAATTGGATGGCGTCCTCGAAGGTCTCACAACCAGTAAGTAATGCACATAAGCCGAGGAAAGTGCCGCCGCCTATACTGGAACCGCTCACACGCTTGTATTTCTCGGGCGAATACACGGCCAAAATGCCGACACCGGAGCCAATGTTGACCACGAGAAAGGGATAGGGATGGCTGAAATCGTACGGCGTTTTAGTGCACTTGTCGTCGTCCAACGGTTCCGACAGGTAATAGCACTCGTGTTGATTGTAGGCCTCGATATAGTGGATGCCGTGAATGAGTGAATCCAATTCGTCGAACTTATGTAAACCGAGATTCACTTCGCGTTTGATGTCGGCCTCGAACTTGAAGGCCCCGCCGCCGGTCGCGCACACAGTGCTCGCCATATGCGCGATGTCTTTGGATTTGGCGAGTTTCAGGAATACCGGCATTTCGGACGTCGGGAATCGGATGAAGTGAAGCGTTCCGTATCTGCCATTTATACAGCACTTATCCATTTGGAGGTAAACGTCACGTTTGCCGGTCGCGCCGTACGAAGCGTTTCGCTTCAAATAGTGTCTGATTTTCTTCAGTGTTTCCAATTCCGAGTCGATCTCCGCCGGAGAGCTGTCCGTCGGCTCGAAGTACACCAGTTTGACGAGTGATCCGCCGATATCCATACCAAACCACGGCATCGCTATATCACACATATTGGCAACACATTAGTGTCAACACAGGTATAGACTAAGACAATGAAGATAATGAAGACAAGGGTTGTGGTACATACGCGGGCCGGTGTGCACAACTGCATTGCCATTGGGAGGAGTGGTTCCGTTAAGCGATGCCATCATATTCGCGATCAACTCCTTCTTCCTCTTCACATAACTCGGTCTGCGGTAAGGATTGATGAGTGGATCCGAGTTATGGCAATACCTATCCATACAATACAATACAAATCAATCGTTAATTCATTAGAAATGGATTGAAATGAATGCACAAAATATTGTAATACTTATTGTATTCACAAATATTGCCTTCAATTGAGTGACAATTTGTTTATTAGATTTGATTCAAACATAAGCTTTTGATTTGAAGATTTCAAACCAAATACACGCGAATATAATGTACTGTTTGTGTGTTTCAAGTGATTGTAAATAAACAGATAATTGATTATAAGGTTTACAATTAAAGGGCAAATTTGTAGTCAAATATTGTCGACAATTGAATGCAATGTTTGGCTAAAAGTGTTGACAAAAACCGAGACATGAATTGAACGCATGTCTCATAACGTGATGAAAGTCTCGCCACTTCTCTATTATTATACCCAAACATATATCACATCTCTTGCCATCATATATATGATGGGCACCCGACCCGACCCAACCCCCATAATTAGCTTATTGCCGTAAACGAGGTAATTTGACTATCAAGTATGAACTTCATAGTATAAAGTTTCAAATATGTAATGTATTTAATTAATTAGATAGAAATGCGTGAATATATTGGATATAACATTGGATTTCTTTAAATGTGTAATGAATTTCTTGTTATAATGTAATGAGAAAATGATATTTCCTCTCAAATGCAAATAAGTTATAATGTTTTCTACTGTATATTATGTGTAGAAAATGAGAGAACACTTACTTTTCGGATAAATCCATTTGAATAGTTTGTAAACTTTGCATGATGCTTTGTATTACAAACTTTGTAATATTTCAATTTCACTACTATTTAACAATTTTCAACACAATATGAACGAGAAGTTTGACTTGAATTGAGAGAAAACTACTGAATGCTAAAAGTTGTGGATTCTGTAGAGCATTGAGAGAGTGTTGGGTATTGTATGATATGGTGTGATGTGTTGGGAATGATGTGAATATTATTATAAAAAATAATAAAAATTACTTTTCATTCTGTAATCGTATATAATATACGATTGAATCGACAGATTGTTTGGATTTTGTTATACGAGAAGTGAAAGTAAGTCACTGTTTGTAGAATTTGTTTTACAAATTACTTTTGCAAACACCTGTCGGTGCCGTTCAGTAAATGATTGCATTGCAATCATACGACTATATATTTAATCATATTCCTGTCAAATGAGTCAATTAAACCAAAACTCATTTATTAAAATTGTTTTAATAATTATTGTAAATCAAATAAATCATTAAAATTCAAATATTATCCATTATTTATTTCAAATCAAATCTATTTTGTGGTGAAATTGTGAAATACACAGCAATTAATGTGATTTTTCACTCTATGAATACATTTAAATGTTAAGTGATTTATTTAACCATAGTCAATTTATTACAAATACAATATAGATATAATTTATTAAAATATATTGATATTGTATTTTTAATTATTGCTTATCATTATAAAAACAATCGATTAAAACCATAATTTATTATTAGACATAAAAGTAAACGAAATGTCAAAATAAAAAAATTTAATAAACTTTTTCATGCAATCATTACATTGAATACTTTGGACTTAGTTTTTAATTGCGATTATTTCTATATTTATTTTAAAGTTTAATTAAACATATACTGTATAATAATTTCATTAAACA